TTTTGAACATGAAATTTTATGATAAATGAGAAATTAAAAAGGAGAAGACTTTAAAACTTTGTGGTAAGGACGATCATTAGGTTACACAAGTAATTGATGTAACGGAAATCTAAAGCCAAAAATGGGGTCGTCTAAAGCGAAGCAGAATCACGTGATATATGACCAATCAAATTATAGAATTTTGATGATCGCTGGCGAAGCAAAACAAAAAATAAAAACGAAAAACCTGAAAAATACAAAAAACGGCAGTCTAAACCTACTTCAGGTAGGTTAATTAAAAATGTCGGGAAGGCAATTTTGCTTATATATTATTACCTAAAACCTAACCTAACCCCAATATAAGATGACCCTAACCCTAAAGTTAATTCAATAAAATATATATCATAAGAATCTGCTCCGCTTTAGACGTCCCCCAAAAATGGAAATAAAACAACGCATTTTTTTTACTGTAACGCTTATTTCGGCTTACTAAGGTATAAATTCGATATGGATGTTGTAGGTGGGAACGGGATTTAAGTGAATCTAAAATTTCTTAAATTAGTATTTCAGGGTGGAGTTTACTTTATATAAACCTTATATCCTAACCCTAAAACTTTTAAGAAATTCCAAACTCGTTCCCAATACAACATACCTCTACTAGTTGTGGGCTAAATTAATTAGATAAATATTGCGTATATTTTGCGAATAAATAATAATAAATTTAGGACTCGATATACATAACGACAAAATTATATAATTTTAATTCCAATTACATAACGACAAATTTATATAATTTTAATTCCAATTACATAATTACTGAATTAATTATATGTTTTACTTTTCGTAAGCAATGCAATTAATTCCAATTTCATCAATACAGTACCATAGTATTATATCAATATTGTAACATGATCACGAAATCACGGACACCGGGTAATGATCTGCTATTTGTTCAGTACTATAATTAACATGTAGATTTTTTCTACGATATGTATAACAAATACAAGATACTAGAATAAGTCCCACCAATCCTGAGATTATACCAATAATTCCACCAACAACACCAAAAATTTCACTAGGAGTGGTAATATATCTTGGAGTTGGAGTTGGAGAGCCACCACCTTGAGCTACATATGAAGTAACCCATTTGTAATTGTCTTTTTGACTTATATCAAGAAGAGAAATATTATTGCTATAATTATTAAGATAAATGTTAGGATAGTAATTAACATCGTATCCTAAATTAAAATTATTATTAGTTTTTAAATAAAAACTTTGTAACTTAAATCATAAATTCTTGTAATTTAGATTACCAAATGCAATAATAATATAATGATCAATTAATGTAGAAGTATGATAATATAAACCAGTTCTAAAGCCATCATTCAAATTCGTAAGATTTTCCCAACTAAAGGTCTTAATATTTAAGGAAGTTATTCGACCTTGTGAATATCCACCTATCACCAAAATCAAGTCATGTTGAGCTAGACAAAAGATAAACGTTGTGAATAATCGCAGAATTAATAGCAATTTTCTATAATATTATACAAAGTTATACGGTACGTATTAAAGTTGATGTGTGGCCATATTGAAGTGTTGGAATTTTTCCTGAAGTAGTCTGAAATATAATTAATATTATAGTAATTAAAATTTAGTTATCAAATAATTTAATTAAATAATTTAACAACCAGATGCTTAAAATTGCAGCAATTCTTACAATAGTTTTCCATGAACTGTTATATATATTGAATACTGGTATCTATTAAGAAAGTTTTGTGAATTCTAATTAAAAAATTGTTGATAATACAACTATTGAAACGAACCTGTGCCACTGAATTAGCAATCGAAATATTTCCATATAAATTTCCACCAATATAAAGAATATCACCATTTGGTAGCAATGTTGCAGTGTACCTTGATAGCGGAGGAGGCGCAGTTGGCAATAACAATGATGAATATGTGTAGCTTGAAATATCCAACATTATCATACTGCTTTCATTAAATGGATTAAAATAATAAATTATATTGTTTGAAATAACACCTTGAACATAAGATGCAGATGTTCTTGCTAAGGTTGTATTAATTCCAGAAAAATTAAATGCAATCCATTTTTCTGCTAAAGTATCAAATTTATCAACACGATTTAAAGTAAAGGTACTATAGGAGTTACCGAAATAAAAAATAGCATTATCATTAACTACAGATGCACTAAATGCACTGGGGTTATTTCTAACAAAAGAAAGATCAGTCCAATGCATTGATGAAGTATCAACTAAATTAAAAGGCTTTGAAACGTCAAGATAAAAAAAGTTGTGGCTATTGTAACTTATATCCGTAAGTCCGCCATAAAAATAAAGCTTATCTTTAACTAAAACTGCACTGTGCCCGTATCTTCCAACTGGCAAAAGGGCATATATGCCATTTTCCAGATCAAAAATATAAAGGAAAAGAGTTAATAAAACAAGAATAAATCTTATTTTCATGCTAAAATTTAAAATTTCAGAAATAATTTCTTATTTTAGTGCCAAAATTAAAGATTTTAGGATTTTGTGGTGTTAAATACTATCATGAAATTTACGCCATTATTGTTGGACACGCGTCCCATTTTGATTATAATCTAGTTATAATTTAATAATGTTATTAATAATAGCATCTTATAAGCATATATCTTGTGTAAGCAGAATTTTCCGTTACCTTACAATTCATTTAAATATAAATGAAGTAAACAATTATTTTTCTGATAAATGAATCTGAGTCTTAATCACACATAAATTTAAACTCACATAATAGAAACTTCATGTTCATTTACAATATAAAGCTGGTATTTCAGTACACTTATGTGAATGAAAAATCAAAAATGGAAAGGTTTCACAGATTTTACGGCATTATAAAAAAAATAAAATCAGAAATGGACAAATTAAAATTTTAACAACCTTATCAAAATATATGATTACACAGATACGTATATAATAGAAATTTAAGGTCAAGAATGGAAAATAATACAATGCATTGTTTTTAATTGCCTAGTTCGGTTTAAAAAAGATCTAAATAGATATGGATACCTCTCTATATCGGTATATGTGTACAGTACGTATGCTTATTTTCATTAGCGTTAGATTATTTACTGTATTTAAAATTTAATATAAGTATTGACTAAATGAAGTGGCTGACAAATCAATTTTTAATTTGGCAGAATGATTTTTGATTCTATTCGTATATCTAACAATGAAGGCTGAATTGGCATTTCAAAATATTTAGAAACGAAAACATCTTTGCTGATTCTTCGATAGCAATACCTGTTTGCTTTCAATAAATTACTTTTGCGAACACTTTTTACTGTAAATATGATTTTAACCGTAGATTAACACCTTTTACTGTAAAATATAATTTTAACCGTAGGTTAACGAATTTTATTCGAAAAAAAGATAACAAAATAATTTATTCACTGTACACATATCAATAATAATAATAGTAATAATAATTTGAATAAAATTAGGACACTGGCATATGATCTGAATTTCCGTAATCATAATCATAGCGCGGGTCATTTCTACGATGTATGTAACAAAATATGCACGATAATATTGTAATAATCGCAACTGTAGCAAATCCTCCTGAGACTATACCAATAATTAGTCCAAAATTAGGGCCATTGTTACTAGTTAAGGGTGTGTACGTGGTTGTCGGTGAAGGTGTTGGTAAGGATGTTGTAGATGTGGATGAGGCGAAAGGGTTATATAAATTAACCCATTTATAATTATTTTTTTGACTTATATCAAGAAGGTAAATATTATTGAGAGGTCGATAATCAACATATTCACCTAAATTTAAAATTATTAATTTGAAAGAACGCATATGACTTGAATAATAAATTTATTATATTTGCTTACCAAATGCAACCAAAATATATTTATCAAATAATGTAGAAGTATGCC